TGAACCCAAAACCTTCTTCTAGTATGACAACCTCTTTTTTTCAAACAATATAAAATTGTTAATATTTCAGCTGCCATGTTTCAATTCGAATTCCGTGCTACACACAACACGCTGGAACAGTGACAGGTACACTACATTATGTCATACAGCACGACACCAGCACAGCAAAGACCCAGCAAAATGCTTGACAGACGCTGTGCTGTTGCTGGTCTGATGCTGGATGCACTGTGTTGGAGCTCTTAGGGGACTGTACAGTCCCCTAGCGCTACCCACTCGGGGACTTGTACAGTCCTGTTGTGCGAGCCACTCGGGGACTGTGCAGGCCCCTAGCGCTGCTTTTGGCACTGGGGGACTGCAAAGAAACAACCTTTGACCTTTGGATCGAGATCAACAAGCCATCATCGGACAGATCTAGACCATACTGATACATAACTAGATCTAGATCTAGTTAAGTTAATAAGTATGGTGGGAGAATCTGGATCTAGAGCCAAACACTGTTTATTTAAGGCGAATTTATCGTTTATGTCAACAGGTTTGATGCTCTATCTAGATTCTAAATCTAGATCGAGGCATAGATCTAGTAGTAGTACTAATGACATAGACTGTAGACTAGATCTATACTACATGGTAGGTCTACTCTTCTTCAATTAGAAAATTTGCAGTCTGTGTCTATAATATCTAGGCCTAGACCCAGATCTAGATCTAGATATAGTTTAGATCTAGATCTAGGCCAAGTAGTAGGCATAGTATTAGTATTACCAAAGATTCTCTACTTCCAATAGGTACTACAATCCTTCTTTAGGATTTCGGTGTGAGTATTCGCACCCGGGGTGAGAATACTTCACATATAATAGATCTATATTATTCTCACCCAGGTTTTTTCGTTTCCACCCTTTTTAGATCTAGATCTAGATCTAGGTCTATTTTGTTTAGGTTTTGAGTTTTTGTACAGTCCCCTAACAACTTCCACTGCAATATCTTGAATTGGTAGGAGAGAATCTTTGGTAATACTAAACTAGATTTAGGCCTAGATTTGATATATTAATATTATACACACAGACTACCATGTAGTGTTGTCTATACAGTCTACGTCATGATCATAGGTAGTTCTACAGCTATATCTAGATCTAGATCTAATCTAGATAGATCCTATTCTTGATTAACAAACCAGTCGACATAAAAATATAAATTCGCCATAGATAAACCGTGTTTGGCTCTATATTTAGATTGTTCCGCAACACTCATTAACTTACCAGTTGTTAGATCCAGATCTATTTATCAGTAGGGTCTAGACTAGATCTAGATCTAGTGTTTAGACGAACAGTTTTTTTATCCGTCCTTTTACTGTTGTAGTTAGATCTAGGTCACAAACGTCAACAATGGCTGAAGCAAGCTACCTGGCAGCTTTTATTGTTCTCAAATCCAAAAAGAAATCTAGAAAGAGGACCATCTGGGCTAAAGAATGGCTATTAAAAAGAAGTACCTACACACACGAATATATTCTATTTCCACAATACTGGCAACGTTCGATAATGTTCGATGGACTGTAGAACAGTTTGCTTTTTCAGTAGCCCCCCCCCCCCCCCAAGTACTATTCGCCGCTTTTGGTCCCAAGAGTAGATGTAGGGGGGTTTCAGGGGGGCAGCTAGAAATCTAATAAGAAAGTGGAGGGGGGTTCAAAGGGGGGGAGGGGGGGACACTTTACCATAATTTGATGTTTTGCCGTTAGGTTTGATATCTCTCGCTCGCCGCGCATCAAACATAGCCTTCTGATCTAAATCTAGATATGGATCTAGGTCCAAATAAACGGGGTGGGAACTACCGAAAAAGCGCCCAGTTTCCTTGTTTTTCCACACGGACATTGTGCAATAGTAAAACTGGTAGCGTGTAGACAAAAATAAATAAATAAATAAACAGCACCGTCTCGATGAAACAATGACGTGTAGCCCTCAGTTGACTCCAACACATCTCGGCGGTATGCGTCACACAACGTGGCACATTATTTGCAACGTTCGATAAAGTTCGACAAACTGTAGTACAGTTTATTTTTTCGTCAGTCCACACGGACATTGTACTAGAACTAGGCTAGAAGACCTGTGCAATAGTAAAAATGGTAGCGTGTTGACAAAAATAAATAAATAAACAGCACTGTCTATATGAAACAATGGTGTGTAGCCTTCAGCTGACTCCAACACGGACATTGTAGTCATTGTAGTAAAACTAGAAGACCTGTGCAATAGTAAAACTGGTAGCGTGTAGACAACCAAAAAAAAATAATTAAATAAACAGCACTGTCTAGATCTACTGTCTAGAATAGTCTAGATCAGGGGTTCTCAACCTGTGGGTCGCCAGACCATTCTTGGAGGATTTTGTTCTTAAATGGCCCTCTGAAAACTAAAACGATGCTCTTTTCCCTACCCTGGCAATTTTAAAAATACGGTTCCCTCTTCAATTGGCTGATACTAAACAAGGCCAGAGAAACAACAAGGCTACACCAGTTTGTCCTGCTTATTTATGTGGGCCAATCATACGTTTGGTTTGCAGTGTTTTCTTTTCTTTCAAAATATATAATTTTGCCTCGCCCTAGGCCAACGCACAATAGCTTGAAGCCTCGTTTATGACGAACTGCATGAGTGCTGGCTTCGAAAGTACGGATTCACAGGGGGAAGGATGGTAGTCATGTACTATTTTCATCCAGACCTGTCTCGCCCGGGTTTAATTTGTGTACTCCTACTGACTTCTAGGCCCTAGGGATGACACTGTAAAAATAATTATCACGGAAACTCCTTTTCATTCTTATTCTTCTTTCTAAATCCATGTATATCTAGGCATATAGATTGTCATCTCTAATAAGATCATAGGCCTAGCTGAAAAAAAAATCTATACATTATAAAACTATGTTGTTGCTTCGCAAAACAATAAACACACAGGAAAAGCTATGTCAAGAAATTTGACGAAGGAGATAAAGAAGTTGGAAGAGAGAGAGAGAGAGAGAGAGAGAGAGAGAGAGAGAGAGAGAGAGAGAGAAATGAAAAGAAACCACGCACAATTAAAGAAACACTTATAAATCTTTGCACGATAAAGGTGGCACGGGTGATGTTAGATGAGGCTAGTGCACAGAAATTGCAGCAAGTTCCCCTTTTAAATGATACGGTCAAGAGGAGTATTTCACGCATGTCTTCAAACATTTAGTAACAGGTTGTAGAGTAGACCAAAGCTTCCCCCATATTCTCGTTCCAGCTTGACGAATCAGTTGATGTGACATCGTGCTCACAGTTACTGGTCTTTGTGAGATATGTGTTGGGAAAAGATGTGAAAAAAGAATGGGGCTTTTTTTTTGCACCCCACTGGACACCACAAGAACAGCTGATGATGTCATGAACAAGTTAGCCTCCTTTTTGGAAAACAAGGGTCTTGAGTGAATGAATTTGTGTGGTATTTGTACTGATGGTGCCCCAGCCATGATAGAATCTAAGTTGGGCTTTCAGGTAAAAGTGAAGGACAAAGTACCACACGCAAAAGGTGTTCAGTGCATGATACATAGATGCACTAGCTTGCAAGACTCTCAATCCCACTTTGAAGGAAACGTTGGAATCGACTGTTAAATATTGCCAACTATGTGAAATGCAGCCCCCTAAACACCCGAATGTTTAAGGAACTCTGTTCTGACATGAGTGCAGATCATGAAACACTGCTTTTCTACACTCAGGTTCGATGGTTATCGAAAGGAAACGTTGTATGTCGCGTCTTCGAGCCGAGAGAGGAGATCAAGTTCTTCCTGGAAGTGCAAGGAAAAGATGAGGTCAGCAGGCACTTCTCAATTGATTTGTGGACCCAAAGACTTGCCCTCATGTCTGATATGTTTGACTAACTCAACAAACTCGTCTCAAAACTTCAAGGTCAGCAGACACACTTTCTACAGTTTAAAAACGTTCTGAGTGGCTTTCTCTCAAAAGTTCAGAATTGGCACCGGAAAATTACAAAGGGAAACATTGCTATGTTTACCAATCTTTCACAGCTGTTAAATCAAGAGGACACCTTGTCTGCTGACTTTCAAGCTGACATTGCTGCACATTTGAAACCCCTTGAAGATGAGTTCAAGAACTATTTTTCTGACCTTGACTGTAGTGAAGAAGCTCTTGTGAGAAATCATTTCACTCCTGGAGTAGACGTCTCTGTCCTTGCAGATGACATTCAAGACGAGCTTTTGGAATTGAGACATGATTCGTCAGCACGCGACACATTTCTGGAGAAATCTCTTGCACAGTTTTGGTGTTCACTCCAGGAATTATACCCTCAGGTCAGCAAAACAGCACTTTGAGTCACTGTCCCATTTGCTTCGACATACCTTTGCGAAAGCGGATTTTCTACCCTTATTTCAACCCAAGACAAACGCAAGGAACAAGCTGGATGCTGCTGATGATATGCACCTTGCTTTATCCAAGACTTCCCCGAGAATTTCAAGACTGGTAGCTGAACTACAGGCACAGCCGTCTCACTAGATTTTTTTTCTTTATACCTGTGTGTGTGCGTGTTTGTGTGTGTGTGTGTGTGTGTGTGTGTGTGTGTGTGTGTGTGTGTGTGTGTGTGTGTGTGTGTGTATGAGTGTATATCTGTGTGTGTGTTTTCTCCTTTTTCTCGATTTGTATTTGCTTGAAATAGGAGTGATTTAAAACATCAAAGGTACAGTTATTGTTCTGTATTAACTATGTAATAATATAGGCCTTATTAATTGTTTGCTGGTGGATTAAATGCGGTTTTTTTTTGGGGGGGGGGGGGGGGTTGGGGGGATTAAAAGGGCTTGTTTATTACTTTATTTAGGAGTTTGGGTGTGAGGGGTCGTTTCATTTACGAAACAATCAAATGGGGGTCGCGGATTGAAAAAGGTTGAGAACCACTGGTGAAGGACAAAGTGCCACACGCAAAAGGTGTTCAGTGCATGATACATAGATACACTAGCTTGCAAGACTCTCAATCCAACGTTTCTTTCAAAGTGGGATTGAGAGTCTTGCAAGCTAGTGCATCTATGTATCATGCACTGAACACCTTTTGCGTGTGGCACTTTGTGCTTCACTTTTACCTGAAAGCCCGACTTAGATTCTATCATGGCTGGGGCACCATCAGTACAAATACCACACACAATGGTGTGTAGCCCTCAGCTGACTCCAAAACATCTCGGCGGTACACGTCACACCACGTGACACATTATTTGCCAATCACTTTCAAAAATGAAGGGCTGGGCCGAATGGTAAAACAAAAGAAAACACACAATTGAATTTAACTTGGTAATTCGCAATTAAATTGCGTTCCCCGCGTAAGTTTTACTAATTTTGGGTCGCTGATCACGAAAAATCTTATTATTTTTTTGATTTGACGAATATTTACGAACATTTTGGAATGCATTTTCAACTCCGCCTGGGGCAACACCAAAGAAGCCGCTCCCTCGTCGTCACTCCTTCAGTTCGCCGGCCGGCAAATACCTAGCGTCGCCAGATATCTGGTGAGTGGTTGGACGGAGAACCCTTCGATATCGAGAGGATTTCTCGTTTCACGCTCACTTTCCACGTGAAATTGACAGAATGCCGGCCATCCTCTCGATATCCTACAGTTTGTCGATCAGCGAACTGTACGTCTAAATGGGGCTGTAGGGCCTACTAATTAATTTTTCAAAACAGAACATCATAGCTGCTAAAAACATCGCCAACAGTCAAATCATACAACATGTTGTCAATTTGTCATGGGAGGAAATTTAAATGCTGTTAATGTCTAATGATGGCTTGTTGGCCTCGATCCAAAGGTCAAAGGTTGTTTCTTTGCAGTCCCCCAGTGCCAAAAGCAGCGCTAGGGGACTGCACAGTCCCCGAGTGGGTCGCACTACGGGACTGTACAGTCCCCGAGTGGGTAGCGCTAGGGGACTGTACAGTCCCGTAACAACTTTCTTCGAGAAAACGGGCGATAAAGAAAAATAAGATTGACTTTATGAGGATATGGTGGTGACTAATATGACCCGCTGAAGGCGAGTCCCCGCTTTTGGAATGAAGAGGGGAAATTACCGAAAAAAATTTTTAAAATCCACATGATTACTTCCTTTCCGTATTTAGGTTAGTTTTCCTTTAAATTTTGTAGTCAACTTGTTAATTATCTCGACCTTTAACCCTATCCGTACATCGTGTTCTAATCGTATCCACACGACGTGGGGTACCTCGGTGCCCCCACTTTCCAAAGAGGAAATTCCCGATATGTACACTGTGGGGTAACAAAGATCCCAAGTAATTGAACCCACGGCTGGAATCGAAACGCTTTAAGATCCAAAATGGCGGCACCTTGTTTTGTAGATGTATGCGTCGAGGGTTCAACTGGGTAACACTTATGTCATTCAAGCCTTCATATTTCACAGAAATTTTGGTCTAAATTTATGTCGCTCTCTCAGTTCTAGAACTTCGGTTTCTTAGATCTAGACTTATGAGGCGGGGCACAACTTTCTCAAGGTAGGTAATCGAGTCCATTTTTGTGTGAGTCGTAAATCCAATTTTGAATAGATTCTACATCTAGTATCAACAAAGAGTCTACATAACAAGAGGGGCCACTTCTCTCTTTGAGCCAATTAAAAAAGTGTCCTCAAAATTCGGTGGCGCCCTCTTCGCAAATTATGCGAACCTTTTGCGAACAGAGTTACCCTACTTGCGTGAAAAAAATCAAAGTAAAACTAACAAGTTTTTGAATAAATAAGAATTCAAATTTCGGTCGAACGCTTTTCTAAAATGGTTACGCTGACGCAAATCATTCCGGAAGAGACGACTGTTTTCTTCGTTTAATTTGACTATAGAATGAGAGGCGTGAGGTTGTTAAAATGAAAAAAAACCCCTAAAACTCTGCACTGAACGAACCCGAACAGCTAATGAACAGCAGTGTATCTGCGCACGCAAGGAGGTGCTATTC